GAGGGTGAGGTTGGTTTTACAGGGAAAAATGGCAGAGGTCGGGTCACGAGGCCTGTGGCTTTGAGTGATTTCCTATGTCTCGTTCTGAATGGCACGGGATTTATCCTGGAGCAAAACTGCTGCCAGCAAGAATTCTGCCTGCCCTGGAAGAAGAAGCACCTCCTCTAAACTGACATCAGGAACCGGGGAGGGTGAGCTATGTTTCACAGAGAAAAGGGCCTGTGATAGAGTCCACGAGCCAGGGGCCATGAAAGAAGGGCCGCCCCATGAAAATCTGAATGGAGAAGGATTTGTCCTGGACCCAAGCTGCCCCCACGTCTGATAGTAAAAGGGTTTAAAATCATGGGGATTTAGGGTTAAAAGGCAAATTAAGCTTAGTAGGCCCTGAAAAGAAAATAAACACCCTAAGTACAGGAAGATTTCGTACCTTACTAGAACTTCACCTGTGTAGCTAGTACATGATAAATGATATAGTTGTTAGATGTGATGATTGTTTAGTAATTAAATATAATTATTGTTTAGTCGTAAGAATAATCATGAGAAACTGTGGTCAGGGACCTAAGAAAGATCATGAGAACTCATGTCAATGTATACAATAGAACAATATAAGTTTAATAATTAATATGTAAGTTATATAATGATAGAATATGAAATACGTTCAGCTCAAAAGCCATGTTGGAGTCAGATGTGGGTCTGTACCCCTGGTTCTCAGAGCTCTCAATAAAAGCACCTGCATATAATCATATCCCATAACTATGTGTGTTCCTGAACGCTAACACGTTGACCAGGGGTTGCCTTGAAAATCCCAAGCACAACTCGCAAAATGACATCAGGAACCTGGACTGGTGAGTTTTGTTTCCCAGGGAAAAGGGCCGGAGTTTGTGCTCAGGGCCCTGTGGCCCCGAGCGGGCGGCTGAATATAGAAAATCCGAACATCGAAGGATGTGTCCCGGACCCGAGCTGCCACCGCCTCAAACTTGTGCTGCCCTGACAATCCCAAGGGAGCCCTGCAAACTGACACCAGGAACCTGGGCTGCTGAATTTGCTTTCGCAATGTAGATATCCCTGATTCATTCCCAGGGCCCTGTGACCCCCCTGGGTTGTCAGGTCCCAAGTTTCCTTTTGCCTCCTCAATGTCAAAACGGTGCAGGATTACTCCCAGTCCAAATCTCCCACCCCCAAGTACTCGGGGGTTTTTTTCATGCTGAATACCTGTTGCAAACTGACGGTACAAAGCTTGGGGCTTGATTTTTTCTGTCTGGATTTCTCCTGGAGAAATCTGCCACCATATAACCCTAACCACAACCACCTTGCTTTGCTCAGAATTCACAACCTTCAGACCAGCAGCATGACACCTGACCCGCTGGCCCTCCACCGGCACCTTCCCAAAGCATTCCACTGCATTCCAGTAGTACTCGGCATTTTCAGCGGGCATCCCGTCTGACCCACATCCTGACCCTAAAAATGCACCAAGGAATTCTAAAATAGCCATTAGGAAGGTGTAACAATACTCTAAAAGACACCAGACAAGTCCTAAAAAGCCTTCAAATATCCCCTAAATATTCCTAATAGTCCTGCAAAAAAACTACTCAAGGAAGCCTGCTCAGCCTCCAAGCCCCTTCCTGTTGCTCTCTGGCCCACAGTTGTCATCCCTACCTTTTTGCAGCGGGTCCTGTTGTCCTCTGAGGGTTCTGGCGTTGTCCTGGTGCGAGGGTTGCTGCCGTGTTCCGGTGTGGTCTCGCTGCGAGGCTTGCTGTGTTGCGCTGCTGTTGTTAGGGGTGAAAAGGGAAAAGGCTGCTTAGGGTGAGGTTAGGGCTAGGGTGAGGGGTGATGCACCTGTACCCTAACTTGCCTCCTAAGCTGTACCCTGTAGCCCTGATCTCCACTAGACTGTCCAGCCCTCAAACTCTCTCCCTTTACTCCTCAACCCCTCCCTCTGCCCCCCAGCCCTCAGGCTCTGTGTGTCACCCTCAAGCCCCCCTTTGCCCCTCAAGGCCCCTCTCAGCTGCCCCTCAGCTCCTGTGTGCCACCCTGAATCCCTCTCCTTTGCCCCTCATCCCCCAGCTTCTGTGTCACCCTCCAGCTGCCGCTGCCCCCCTCAGCATCTCTCTGTGTCACCCACTGTCCCCTCCCCCTGTTCCTCCCTCAGCTCCCAGCCTCTGTCACCCTCAAGCGCACACAGTGCCCCTCAAGCTGCCCTTCAGCCTCTATGCCATGAAAAGACCCTAAAAACCCATAAAAACACCCAAAAAACCCCTCATCTTCAAAATTTCTTAAAACCCCCACAAAAACATAAAAATAGCCTCAGAATACCCTTAAAATACAATAAAAATACCCTACTTGAAAAAACCCCTAAAACACCCCTAAAAATCCCCAAAGAACCTTTAAAAAAAGGCTAAATATTCTTAAAAGAGCTCTAAAAACAGCCCCAAAATCCTTAAAACACACTGATAAGACCTTAAAATCCATTAAACTTCCCTCAAGAAACCTAAAAAGACCCGAGTCGTAGGAGCCCTCCACATACCCCCAATAGTCCTAAAAAAGCCCTAAACAATTTTAAATAGTCCTAAAAAAACCCCAAGAACAGCCCCCCCCAAAAAAACCCACTTAAAATTCTAATTAGTACTAAGAAAGCCCTTAAAATACCTTAAAAAAATCTTTTTAAAGCCCTGAAAAAGTCCTAAAGGTATCCTAAATGTTCCCAGAAAGTTCCTAAAAAGCTCCTGTGAGAAAACCCTCAAATATCCTTTAAACACACAAAAAAAAAAAAAAAAAAAAAAAAAAAACCTAAAAAAAGTGCTCAGTCCCCAGGCTCTACCAGTCGCTCTCTAGCCAGCAAACATCATCCCTACCTTTTAATTAAAGTCACTGCCTGCAGCTGCTGGGGGGGTTCCGGGGCTGTCCCAGCATTAGGGTCACTGCCTGTAGCAGCTGTTGGAGAAAACTGGTGTTCTAGGGATGCTGATTGGGGTGAGCTTAGGGCTGGGGTGAGGGCTGCTGCTGTACCCTAAGCCTTCCTGGTACCCTATGTCTTGTCCTTTGTACCCCTAACCCTCAGTGTCAGCTCTCCACTTGTCAAGTCCCCCTTATTTGCCCCTCAGCCCGCAATGTCTGTGTGCCACCCCAAGCCCCCAACACTGTCCCTTGGCCCCCTAACCTCCACCGTGCACTCCCCACCCAGGGAGGGGTGGTTTTTAGGGTGAGGTTAAGGGTGGTGTGAGGGCTGGTTCACCTGTCACCCTCAGGTACCCCCCACTTTGTCCTCAAGGCACCCCCTGCCTCTCAACCTCCTTGTGTCACCCTCCATTCCCCCACTGCAACCTCTCAGTGTCTCTGTGCCACCCTGGAGCCCCCCTTTTTACTCCTACAGACCCCTTCTGCCCCTCAGCCTCCTTGTGTCACCCTCCAGATCCCCACCGCAGCCTCTCAGCATCTCTGTGCCCCCCTTTTTACTCCTATGGACACCTTCTGCCTCTCAGCTGCCCCCACCCTCTGTGCCACCCTCCAGCCCCCCACCGCAGCCTCTCAGCATCTCTGTGCCCCCCTTTTTACTCCTACAGACACCTTCTGCCTCTCAGCTGCCCCCACCCTCTGTGCCACCCTCCAGCCCCCTGCCCTCAGCCCCAGGTCCCTTTGTGACACCGTGCAGCCCACAGATGTCATCCCTGCATGTTTTATTTTGGTGTTGTCCTACTGTGAGGGCTGCACTATCGCCACAAGTTTGGGCTCCCATGTGGTGCTGCTGGGAATCACAGGTGGGCGGTGGGGGCAGTGTGGGATGGGGCAGGGGCAGGATGGGGAGGGGTGAAGGGTGAAGAGAGAGTAGGATGGGGGGGCTGGAAGTACAGATGGGGGTGAGGGGGGGAGACAGGGACAGAGAAGAATGGGGTGAGGGGAGAAGGTGAGGGTAGGAGGGGCACCACATATCTGACAGACAAAAGCTGCAGCAGAATAAAATTCTGCTTGCTGAGGCAATGCCAAATACCTGCTGCAAACAGACATAAGGAACCCAGGGAAAAGGGCCGCTGTTTGTGCTCAGGGGCCTGTGACCCTGAGGTGGCAGCTGCCTGCAAAAAATCCGAATGGCAAAGGATGTGTCCCAGACCCAAGCTGCCCCTGCCTCAAAGCCTTACCCTAAACTGAACCCTAAATCCTTACTGAAAAACAAACCCTAACCCTAATCCTAACCTAACCCTAACCTCAAATAAATCTAATATTAATAATACCTCTAAAATTAAACTTAAAAACAACAGTAACCCTAGAAAATGGCGGCGCCCACGGCATCACGTGACGGGGCGATGATGGCGGCGCTTACGGCATGACGTGATGGAGGAAAATATGGCGGCGCCAGTGCATCACGTGATGGAAGCAAATATGGCGGCGCGTACTACATCACGTGATGAGACAAAGATGGCGGCGCCCAGTTAGTCATGTAATGAGGTGTTAAATGGCGGCGCCCAATACGTCACGTGACTGATTCGAAAATGGCCGCGCCGAGAAAATCACGTGATGGGGAAAATATGGCGGCTTTCGGGACGGGGTCGATTTTTGCGGTTTTTGGCGGTTTTTTGTGTGCCCTCCGCAAGCCCTGCGTGCCGTGGTGTTGTTCCGGTGCACCCGCACCAGAGGACGCCACGCGGGATTGTTTTTGGAGTGCGGGATTGGTGTCGGAATTTCGGACAGGCGGCTGTCGGGGCGACTAATGCTTGGGGTCTTTTCTGAGGCGCTGGGGGCGGTGCAAGGGGAGGGGTCGGGGCACCGATGCAGTGACGTCACGCGGTGACGCGACGCAGGGGCGGGCCAGAGGGAGGCGTGGGTGCAGTGCGCGAATTGCACCGGCAGGTGGCGCTGCGAGACCGAGGGGTGGGCGCGCTGCCGGCTGTGGGGGCAGAGCGCCTGTTTGTGCAATTCTATCCTTGTGTGTGCATTTATTAAAATAAAAATATGGATATTGATCTAGTACCGATATCCAACTGTGACAGACAAAAACTCTCTAACAGTTTGAAGTTAGAAAGTGTATGTTTATTCGACACCCAGCAGCGTGTGGGATAGTTCCCAAATACACACCGCACTTTCCAAGTGATTAAAGAGCCGTTTTGTCCATACAAGTACTGAATACCGAAAATACAAATACCTATTCATTTTGGTACATCCCATTCCTTGCTTCATATGCTAATCATTTCAAAAGCTATTAAGCATGACGTTTGTTCCCTGAAATGGGTCAGTGGTCCCTTTCATGGGGATGAGTCCCAAAATGTGGAATTAAATGAAGTCTTCCTTGTTCTGGCCTTTCTACCGTTTCAATGCAAATATGACAAATGAACTCTTGGTAGAACTTCCATTCCTTGTCTTCATTTGATTTCAGAACAGAGGAGGCCCACAATTGTCTTATGCTCTTAAAAGCTATTTATCAGTTTCTATATTCTTCATTATTAACCCAGCTAACTAAACATTGTGCTGACAGGCAATCAATTACTAGTTAACTACTCACTCTTAACTTTATCAAGGCCTACTCATTTATTTTAATTAACTCTAGTAAGGCTTGTCTTTAACTAAAATCTTGGCTGCTCTAAAATCTCTAAATCCCTTAAAATTTATGTTTCAACATGATGAACTCTTGGTCGTATCATTATTCATCTGGTGGGCTTGATGGGAATACTGGTTTCTGCATATTGCTACTGCTACCTGCCAGCTGGATCGCTAATTAGGAGCCCTATATCTATTAGGAAAAAGAAGAAAAACTGTATGTCTGGTGCAGCAGTAGAAAATTTCAGGCTCCCAGGGATTAAATAATTTTCTTTAAATAATTATTTAAAGGTTTGTTTGGTTTTTTTTTTTACTCCCAGGGAGCCTGAAAGTTTTTACTGCTGTTCTTTTTTAAAGCTAGAAAGGAAAGCAGAGTTAGAAATAAAGGTAGAAATAGAGAGAAACAAAGGGTTAAAGAAAGTTGAAGTTGGAGAGAAAAAGAGAGACAGAAAAAAAAGAACTATGAAAACAGTGGCAAACAGTGAAAACAAAAAGAGTGAAAAATGAGCAGGGTTAGAGTGAAAAAGAAAGAGTGAGAGTAAAAAAGAGGAAAAAAGAGTTAAAGCTAGAGAGAAAAAGAAAGAGTAAAGTATAAACTATAGAGAGAAAAAGAAATAGTTGGAAACAGAGAAAGAAAGAAAAAAAAGAAATAGCGGGAAATAGAGAAGCAGAGAGACAGAGTTAGAAACAGTGAGAAATAGAAACACAGAGTTAGGGACAGACAGAAATGAAGTCAGAAATAGAAAAGTAAGATGAGAAGCAAAGGAAGAAATACAGTGAAAAAAAATTACTAAACCACACCAAAGAAAGACAGGAGCCAAAGCTGGAAGGTGAGGGAGCAGGGGCATCATTACTAGGGTTGATTCAACTTCACTGAATGAATTTTTTTATTTACACTTCAGCAAAACACATGGAAACAACAGATACAAATGCAAGTACAGATACAGAAAAAAACCCTGGCCTGGGGATGGTCTGTGGCCAAACCTTAGTGACGAACATCACCTTATGGACTGGCCAGGCTATGCAGCAGGGCAGAGCATGGCCGGGACAAATATGTGCAGACACCCGTGACACAGGACGGGACGTGACAAACGAGGGGACGTGACAGGGAGGGAGAGCTCTCGAGGAGAAGAAAGGACTGAGAGACCCAAACAACACAGAGTGCACCAGAGACAAGTGACAGGACACACACCGGAACTGCTCTGCCCTGTGAACCTCAGCACTGAGACCAAAACAGACATTTTCCCTTTAGGAGGACTAGGGAAATGCTTCTTGGACATCCCCATCCCCAAAACAGACAAAAAAACCCCTTCTAGAAAGGCCCAAGCCAGCACCGCGCTTCCATCCACTCTGTAGGTCGTAACACTCCACTTATCTTGCACATATCTGGGGATGTAAATCCCTGTTGGCTGCAGAAGAAGGCCGTCTGCCTGCCTGCTAAGTTCCAGCTGTCACCTCTTGGTCTGCCCACAGAAAGAAAACCAAACATCAGTGCACAATCTTAACAGCACATCGGCCAAAACCTGGTAATTCTGCTACTCACCATCCTCCTCAGAGTGCCCAGGCCACACACTTCAGGCGTGCTTGGAGGCCAACAGCATCACCTATGGGTACAGCACGGTTAAGTGGAGAGGGGGTGACGTGGCATTGCTGAAACTTGAGTGTACCCACGCTCCTCCTCCCTACATCCCAGACTCACCGCAATTCCTTGTCCACTCCTCTGGGCTACCAGGTTGGGACCCTGAAATACAAAATTTTTAGGCTTCATCACAGAGTCCCGCTATACTTCCAGAGGTCTCATAAAGCACAGGAAACCCAGTCCATTGGCCAGCTGGTGACAGGTGCTATGCGTACTCCGAAGGGATTCCCTAAAGTACACAAACAAGAATGCATGCTTACAGTTGCACCAAAAACCGAAACCTGAGCAAAAACAACAGCTTCTCTCCACTGCTCACCTAGCACAATGGGCCTTGACTGCTGCTATCTGCCTGGACCTCCTAAAAATAAAGGCAAAGAACACTGCTGTAACGCAGTCACGATTTAGGCTTCTGCAAATGCAAACAATGACTGACCTGCTTATGCCAACACCTTTACCCAGGACTGGCGCTCTCTACCACAGATTTGAACTGTCTGCATCTGAAAGGAAGTTAGAACTAGTGTCAAACAGCTGCAGGACAACTTAACAGCACCAAAAATGTTATGTCAATCTCCCAATAGAATCTAGATCCCAACTACACCCTTGAATTACAAATTTCAAGTCCCGGGGCTTGTGCTATTACAGGCTATGCAGCAGGGCAGAGCAGTTCCTGGACAAATGAGTGCAGACACCGGTGACACAGGACAGGACGTGACAAACGAGGGGACAGGACAGGGAGAGAGAGCTTTCAATGAGAAGAATGTGTGCAAGGACTGAGAGACCCAAACAACACAGAGTGCACCAGAGACCAGTGACAGGACACGCACTGGAACTGGTCTGCCCTGCACGCTTCAGCACCGAGATCCAAATAGACATTTTCCCTTTAGGTGGCCTAAGGGGACCCTTCTTGCACATGCCCGCCCCCAGAGCTGATTCAATAGGCCCTCCCAGCACGTTGCCTTTGTCCCCTCTGTGGGCCTTAGCCCTCGACTTATCTCTCCGGCATCCGGGGATGAGAATCCACATCCTGTGCAAATGGAGGCTGCCTCGACAGCTGGGAATGTCTTATGGTCAGCAGGCTGTGGTCCCTTGCTCAGCTACAATCAAGAACAGCAAACATCACTGCATGATCTCAGCTGCTCAGCAGCCACAAACCAGCAATTCTGCTACTCGCCATTCTCCTAAGAACGCCGGGCTCCTCGGGCCGCACGCTTTGCCCTCGCCCTCCTGGCAGGGTCTGCCTGGCTGAAGAGGAGACAAGGTGATGTGGCGTTCCCAAAACTCGAGTGGACCCTGGCTCCCCCTCATTAATGGTTGCCTGACTTACAGCAACTCCTCGGCCGCTCCTGAAGGCTCCCTGTGTGACACCTTCCAGTGACAAAGATCAAGGCTTCCTCGCAGAGCCGTGTGCCGCTTCCCGAATTCCCACGAGGTCGAAGGAGCGGGTCTGCGGGCTGGTTGCAGAGGGGGTCTCGGTGTTACACGACTGGACCGCCTAATGCACACAAACATGAATGGATACTTGGAGTTGCAGCAGAGACACTACAGCTGTAGGCACACAAATTCATAAATAAATAAACAAAACCTAAAAATTCTACCAAAATATTAACTTTATTTACCCAATATTCAAATTGCCAAATAGATTAACAGAGACACCCTGTTCTATCCCCTCAATAAGGCCTCTTAATTATGCCAAACAAATCCTTAAAACTAAGAAAACCCTGCCTGTATCAAAATAAAAACAAAAAAATTCTTGTAAACTTTATAAATTCATTAACCTAACACATCAGAACCACAGAAATATTAAACCTTTATGAACACCAGAACGCAGTACACACTACCCTCATTTCAACATATAAAAGTAAAGCTATTCCTATTACTAACCTAACACAAATATCACAAAATATAGCAGTAAGGAAAAAAAAATAAACCTCACGAAAAAAAAAAAATAAAACTTTTAAGCCAAAAAAAAATCATACATTCTAAACAGGATCTTCCTCAAAATCAAGTATTTCAATAAACCCCAAAAACTCAAACATATTTAAAATAACTACTAAAAAGCCAAAAAACATAAAACAATTAAGCAACCCACCACAACTATCTAAAACTATCAACAATAAACCTTCTTTAAAAAAACCCAACAAATACTCCTTACCACCTCAACAATACATCACCAGCGACACCAAACAACTCAAAATACTGTAACTCCCATCCAAAAAATGCTCTATAAACTGAAACATTAAAATTCATCTACAAAACCCACTCACCCTTCAACAACCTCCTCTAACCTACACACAAATCTAAAACAAATAAGAATTAACTATAAACTATCATACCTTAAATAACTCCACCATTAAACACTACTGTACCAAACTTATTAAATCTCCAATACAAACTAAAATGAAAAACCACAAAATAACACACCACTGTTAACATTACCAATACATTTTTCTCCATTCCTCTAACAACCGAATACAAACCTTGATTTACCTTCACTTGAAAAACATATACCTACAACCAACTACCCCAAAAATAAAAACACAGTCCTACCATCTAGCATAAATTCATCCAAATGAAACTTAAAAAGAAAACTCCAAAACATCTGTAATAATCCAACAATATTAGATGAAAAGTATAACAAAAATATTTTTTAAAATCATCCAAATTCTTCTAAAATACTATTACACCACAAAACAAAAAAAAAAAAAGCAAAATGAAAAAGCCTACTGAAAAGATCCAATTCCTAAAAATAAAATAACAAAAGAAACATCAAATTCCCACCAATTTCATCCAAAAAAGTCAGAATGGCTCCACGAGCCAACAAAAAAACCCGCCAACCTATAAGAAAATGCCAAACCACCTCGAAAACAAACAATAAAACACAGCCCCTCTTACCACGGTATTATTTTAATACTATGATTAAAATACACATTCTATACAGAAATGTCTCCTACCCCGCCATCAATTCCACATAAAGCAAATAAATTAACTCTTATCATACAGGACATCCATATCAAAAATCTCAATCGCCCTAAATCCTTAAAAATAATAACAAATTAACCCCAGAATAAAAACTTTAATCTCTAACAAAAGAAACCCAAAACCAAACAACACAAACTAAAAATACACCACCGTAGAACCAACTACCAGCAAAAAATAAACCCACGCTACACTCTTCACTAACAGTTCTTCGTGAGACACATCACAAAAATGAAACAAAAATAAAAAACAACCCATAGAAACCAAAACATACATAGAAAACGAATTACAAAACCCACTAGAAAAAGAAGTCCAACCAGCTTACTAAACTTCAAACCGTACAACAGACCCTGAAAGCTACTAAAAATGAAAACCACACCTCTACACTAACTCGAAGAGTAACCAGTAGTCTAATTTAACTTTAAAAACTAAAGTAATAAACAATATTAAAATATTCTAAATCACTAGACAAGAAAAAGATAAGTACCCAAATAAAAAACTACCTAAAAAAACCCACCATATAAATACACACGTTCCTAAAAAAAACCCCACTAATAAAAAGCAACCAACAAATACATCAAACTAAAACAAAAACCCAAATAAATAAACTTAAATTAACAACACCAGAAATTATTCCTAACTCAATAAAGCCATAATGCCTCAAACCATCAAAATACAAATACCACCTAGAAATAAACACATCACCAAAAAATAAATGTAACCATAAACAATAACTCCCAAATTACCGGTAACAATAAAACATTCACGACAATTAAACAAACCAAATGAATAAAACCTCTATAAGAGAATTAACAAGAATGCAATTATCAATATTAAAAAAAAAAACCAAAAAAAAAAACTTACTAATTGACTACAGGACACTACCCCAAACCCACCAAAAAAACCACTACATACGCACGCTAATAAAAGCCACCACAGCCTAATTAAAAAACAACCCTGTACTTCATGCTACGACCCATAAAAACCACAGTAAACCTTAAAAAAAAAATCCTTTAAGAAGATAACTACAACTGTATTTTTATAATATAAAAACAAATAAAAAACCCAACATATCCCACCAAAAAAAAAAAAAATCCAACAACAAACTCAATCCAAAAAAACCCTTGTCATCAGCACATGAACCAAGAACCGTAACAACAACAAGTACACCATGACCTTTCTCATACACCAACTACGAACAAAAGAAAACGATCCACTAAGTTCCTCAAAACCACCACAGCAAGGAACTCTGGAAAATGAAAACCAGCGCTCCCGGCAGCGGGCGGAGCGCGGCTCCCGGCAGGAAAGCGGCTCCTCCGGCAGGCACAGGCGGCGCCGCGCCGGGAGACCCCCGCCCGCTCCCCCCGGCCCGGCGGGGCCGGCACCGGGCCCGGGGGGCCCCGGCGGCGCCCGAGCCCCGCGCCCGGAGCGGACGGAGCGGCCGGCACCGGCCGGCACCGGCGCAGCGCCCGCGCCGCCTGCCCCGCCCGCCGGCCCGGCCAAAGCTCCCCTCGGCTCCGCACGGCTCGCACCGGCGCGGCTCCGGCAGTCCCGCGGCAGCCCCGCCGCGCCAAACTCCCCTCCCGCCTCGGCCATCCCCAGCCACTGCCAGCGGGGCTCCCGCGCCGGACCCTTCGCTGCCGGGCCAGGGGCAGAAGAAGCGCCCCAAATCCAGCGGCACAGCCCCATGCCCACCCTGCCAGCGCTGCCACAGCTGCGCCTTCCTTCCTTTGAAGCCCCGAAACTGACGCCTCGCTCAGGAGCTCACCTCACTTCAACAAGGGCAAAGAAATGTTGCCTCCCCTTCAATTTCATCCCCTAGAGGACCAGAAAAGATGGGGTTTTCCTCAAATGATGGCAAAAGGGGGATTTGTACCTCAATCCAAACCCTGTAAAAGGAGGGACAAGAGGACTGCCCCCTCCATTTCAATCAACCTCAGGATGATGAAAAGGGTGGGGGGGGGCTACCTCAAGTCAAGCCCATCATTTGACAACAATATTTTTCCCCTTCCATTTAACAGAGAACACAGGGTTTCCCTGTCTCCCCTGTGACATCCCTAACACCCTGGAAAAAGCAGGTTTTCCTTCAACAAATATCCTCAAAACCACAAGTGAAAGAAGATCCCCCACTAGTTCAGACACGGCTAATAATGGAAGAGAAGCCGGTGCCCTCAATCTGACTTTCTCTTGTCTTCAGAATCTTTTTTTTTTTTTTTTTTTTTTCCCCTGGGAGCACCGGCGCACTGGCTCACCTGTTTGGCTGCTGCTTCTCGGCACAAAGGTTTGTCCCTCGGCTCCTCCTTTGAGCAATGCTCCACGTATCCAAGTGCGTATCCAGGTGATCCCCCAGACCCTGTCCGAAGCGCTCACCGTCCTTCCATGAGACAGCCCCGGGAGCTCCCCATAAACTCCTCTTCTCCAGCAGCTCTGTGCAAAAGCCAGCGGCGGCAAACCCTCGCCCTAAAATAACCTCCCCCCGGCAGGAGCAGCCCCCCTCCTCGTCATCTTCACAGCTCACACCTGGGGCTGCTCTGAGCCCTCCTCATCCTCACAGCTCACACCTGCTGCTGTTGCCACTCTTCAACAGTGTCTTTCTCCAGCACACAGCCCACTTCTCACAGACACAGATCCAACAGAAATCTGCTACGGGTATTGGCTTTTCTTAATCCATCTGGTTACACGATTAAAACACATACATGCATTGATGGTCATTGAGAGAAAGCTTTCCCCTGGAGAAAATAGTCCTTTTGGTAGCACACTTTGATACACCTTCTGAAAAAGCAGAATCAGCACCAACTCCTAAGTCCCCTGCTGAGGAACCCAGCCCTCCTTGGGACACCCAAAGCTATTCACCAGAGTCAGAAATGTTTTATTATGTTGATATTTAGGAGCTGATTCAAAAAAGCCAACTTCTCATGGGGAAAAGGCCATATGAAGGACACATTGCAGAAATAACAACTGACAGTCACATGGTCTGAAACTTCGAAAGTGAAATTAGGTCTGCAACTTGGGAAAGGGCAATGTAGGTCACAGGCAGCTAAAATAATTTTATTGTTAAGCTATGCTGTAACATAAACTGTGCTAATAAAGAGTCTGTCAAGTCTGCGTATTGCATTATACAGTGGTGGGGAATTCTGCTTAGAGAAGGAATGCTTTTAAAGGTCTCAACCATGATCATCCATATGGGAAACAGCAAAGGTCTTATTTGTAAGATTTGTCTTTAAAGAAAGAGGCAATAACACAGACCCCTGCAGATTCACCTTGATGATGTTGAGCAGTTCATGTTGATCAATGCAGCCATTGCCATCTACATCACAGAGCTTGAAATACCACCGCAATTTCTGCTCCATCTTCCCTCGGATAACGAGGCCGAGGGCAGCCACGTTTCATTGATTCATTTCATTGATTTCATGATTCCATGAAATCAATATACCCATCCTGTCAGAAACCCAAAATTGTGACAGGAGTAAGATAAGGGAGTTAATGCACTGGAGTTGTTTCACCTTATTGCTCTTCAGATTCACAGCTGAAAGAGAAAGGCCAACAAGTGGCACAGGATTTTGACTTAGGAAAAATCTTTAGATTTTTCAGACACATTTTCTGTAGCCACTAAATACCTGGGTTCCTAAAGTCATGATCTAGTAGAGAGAGGCTCCCCTCTGCTCACCACCTGCAGTGAGAGAACCTGTCACTCCTCGTTGTCAGCATGAACAAAGACACCTCTGTACACCAAAAATGACTGCCTTTGGCCTGCTGGGAGAGAACACTGAGCCCATCCCATGGGCTGCAGGTTTTCTGTACTAGTCTGCTCTGTCTTTGAGGGAAACTGTGCTATTCCACTAAGCCATAGATCTCTTCTCCATTCTGGGGAAAATCATGTGACTGGGAATATTTTGTAAAATACATAAAGCGTGATTTGATCACTGAAAAAATGTTCAGTATTTAGGTTTTTAATATTTCATTTCTTGACTCTACAAAGGAAGTCAAAAAGCTCTTGTTTTTTCTGCAAGAAAAATGCCAGTTAGTAGAAGTTCATCAGCCCTAGATTTAAATCTGATTAAAATTTGAAGCTATTAAAAACAAACTACAAATAAAACATATATCTAAGTTAAAGATTCTGAATAACAATAATTTCTCAACACATAACAAAGCAAAACAAAAAAAAAACCTTTCAATTATTAAGGTATTTAATCAAAGTTATATGCCTTTCTGAAATGGACGTGAATAAACATATGTAAAAGGTGATCGCAGGTGACTTAGCAGAGCACTGCTGTTTTACAGTAAGGATCACCACATTTAAAATGTTCATTCAGGGTGGGAAGAAGGGTTGAGAGGTTGAGAGAATTATGGCTGGTCAGCCTGGAGAAGAGAAGGTTCCAGGGAGACTTTGGTGCCCCTTCCAGTACTTCAAGGGGGCTTAGAAAAAGGCTGGAGGGGTATCATGGACAAGAGTGTAGTGATAGGACACAAGAAAAATGGCCTTAAACTGAAGGTGGGCAGATTTAGATTAGGCATTAGGAAGGAATTCCTGACTGTGAGGCTGGGCAGGCCTGGCATAGGGTGCCCAGAGCAGCTGTGGCTGCCCCTGGATCCCTGGCAGTGCCCAAGGACAAGCTGGACAGGGCTTGGAGCAACCTGGAATAGTGGATTGTGTCCCTGCCCAAGGCAGGGGTGGCACTTGGGTTAGGTTAAAATTCTGTTTTTTAAAATCTGTGATTTTGAAACCTGATTTTCTTTGGTATTTTGGCATTTTGTTGTCTATTATTTTGAAACTAGGGTTTTGAACAAAAATACAACTAGGGTTCTATTTTAGAACCTAGTTTCTTGTAGGGGGAGTTTTTGGTATTCTTGTAGGCTGGGTATTTGGTATTTTTGTACCTGAGCTTCTAGCATTTTTTTAACTGGTTTTTCTGGGGGTTTTTTTGTGTTTTTTTTTTTTTTTTTAATTTTTTTATTTCGCAACCTGTGATTGGCAGGGATTTGGGGCATCCTAGTTGAGTGTCCTGGCTTCATTTGCCTTTTTCCACCACAAATAACCTGGCATGGCAACTGTTAAAGTACAGACTATACAATGAGATATTTCCTGAAACAGAAATAAATTCCAGCTGCAGCAAGAAAACCAAGAAAAGACCATACAGGAGGTAATTCCATTTTAATAGTCTCCAAATCTCCAACATGTGAAAGTAAAAATAATAGAGTAAGTGTGGCAGTATACAGCCATTACCAATATAAGCAGTATTAGTCAGCTTCTCAACATTGCTTTTTAGCATTTTATGGGAAAAACATTTGGCCTAAAACTTCTTATCCGTAAGTTGTTGGGGGTTACAGGAGATGGAACCTGACCCTTAGTAAATTGCATGAGAACCACAGCTTAAAGTTACTCGATGTCTTCTGGTCTCACAGGATGAGGCAGAGGTATAACTGATTTCTTCTCTGTATCTCTGGAAAGAGCTTTTCTCATATCTATAGCAACAGGAAAAAATGTTATTATAGTAATGCAGTCATTGTACAAAGCCATAATAAGTGAATTCTCCATTAAAATAAGATAATTTTTAATGAAGAAAATTTCCTAGAATCGTAAGACTACCTCAAATTGGAAGAGACCCATAAGGATGCAACTCCCTGCTCCACACAGTACTACCTAAAATTATACTGTATGATTAGGAGCATTGTGCAGATATTCCTTGAACTCTGATGGGCTTGGTGTCATGACCTTTTCCCTGGAGAGACTATTGCAGTTACCAACCACCATCTCAGTGAAGAGCCTTCTAACATCCAGTCTGAACACTCCCTGACACAGCTTTGCTCCATCTCCTCAGGTCCTGCCACTGGTCGCCAGAGGGAGGAGATCAACCTCCCCCCCTCTGCTGTCCTTGGAAGTTACAGACTGTGACAAGGACATGCATCAGCATTCTTTCCTGCAAGTGGCACAAACTCATTGACATCAGCTGCTCCTCCTAAATCTTGCTCTTGAGACATCACACCATCTTGGTTGCTCTCCTCAGGACACACTGCTGTCCTTAATGTTGCTCAATGGCAATGACAGCAACTGATATAAAGCACTGCATGAAACTCAGCCAAATGGAAAGGAAATGACAAGCTAAAGAGACAAATATATGACTTAAGTAACATGCAGCAATGGTAGGTGTTTATTTGAGCCTTTGTATTTCACAGTGCTCCTACACATCAAATAAACAGTGGAAGAACAGAAACGATACATAGCCTGGCCATGTAATCCTTTGGGAAGATAATTTTTAAAAGGACCTGGAAAGAAGAAGCACCTGGTAGTTCACTTTTGTTAACATAATTAACATTAACATACTTGAATTTCCATGTTCCTTCCTTTTAAATTGACAATGTTACCCAATTCTTTGCCATTGCTGAATGCTGACAATTGTTAATTTATAGTAGATATCTGAGAAAAACAAAGTTTCAAGTCCCTATTATGGGATGAAAGGAAGAAAGCACTGAAATTCCTTCTCGTGTATTCTTGTTCTGCAGCTGATTTTGCCAGAGATGCTACAAAATGTGTAAATGGCAAGACTAAGTTTTGTAACTGATGTAATCTTAAGTAGGAAAAGTTACAAAAATAAAAAATATACAAAAATTCCATTATTCAGCAACTATCTGAAATTGTTTCATGGTTTTTTTATATGCTTCATATAAAACATAGTAATAGTCTTACAAACAAGCCCAGGAACACTCAACATAAGAATAGTTCCATTCAATTTGAGACCAAACAAGAACTTACCATAAGCATCTTCATCTGGCTCCCCACTGCTAGCTGAGTAGTACTCTAAGACTGTTCGGTACACACTGTAGCCTAGTTGTTTATACATATTTACAGCAACCTGATTTGATACTCTCACAAAGAGATCGACAAAAAATCCACCCTTTCTTTAGCAGGGGAGGAAAAGAAACAAACAAAACCACATTAAGAAATGGCAGGTAAATGCATTTCTAAGTAACAACCCATAAATTGTAATGAAACCAAAGCAAGTCCAACGTAGTATACTAATTAAACACCTTTGCCAATGTAATAACAGATATGCTCATTTACCAAGGGAAAAATCAATCATAGACAAGGATATAATTTTATTTTTGTCACATGGCCATTCTACATCAGGCGGTGAGTTCAGAAATTTGATCAGAAAGAACAAGACAAGTTAAATGCCCTCACAGGCCTAAATACAATTTAGAAAGTGTCCACATTTTAGACGGCTTGGATTAGGAGGAGTGGAATCAGTCACAAAATTCAGTTGCCTAACAGGAGATGACAGACCTTTAATTTCACAAGGCAAATTTTTCAAAACATCATGCTACTTTCCAGTAGTATGGAACTAACCATAGTGGGGTTGCCCTACCAAAATCAGTTAAGGACATTTCCCAGTGGATTCATCTGACACTACATTAAATTTTCTCAGGTACAAGTAACCAATCACAGGATGGCAAGTAAACTAAGATACTCTTTGCAGTACAAAATTTGTTCAGGCACAAAGCCCACAGTTACTGAACAAGAATGTTGGAGGCCCTACAGGAAACAGTGCTGATATTTCACAAAGCTCTTTTCCTGTCAAAAGAAATGTTCTTTTATATGGTATCTCTACTGGAATTCAGGCTATGCCCTCCTCACTCTGGCAAGTTAGCTGACCCTGAGATTTTAAACTCCTAAGCAACTTTCATAACTCTTTTTCTCCAACTATGAGGAATTTCAGAAAATCAGAACACCCTGTAAAGCAAAATTCTGCCACGTAAACCAGGGACAGGTTTCTGTAGAAATACTACTTTTAAATGTTATTTTAAAAGACGAATTTAAGATAGACATACTACTCACTTTTCTGAAATTTCTTCAAGGAGCTCCATCAGCTTAGCAGCCAAACCCAGCCGTCGAAATTCTGGTGCAACAGAGAGAGCAGTAACGTGTCCATGCCATTCTTCCCTAGCCACAGAGCCTTCGGCTTTGCCCATGACTGTGAACACAGAGAGCATCAGCACAGCAGCACCTTTGGAGTAATGCACTGCCCGCAGCCAGACAGCTTCACAAGAGGAATAAGCCATGGAAAAACACACATTACAATGGTTGTGATAAAGGCTAAAACAGAGATGTCTACCTTTTCACTCTATGATTCAGCAGCCACTAAAAATGTCATTTTGCTCAAATATTACAGCAGTTTTTTGACTAGTGTAAAAAAACACCAAACAAGTTTGCAAATTCCTTCCTTGAGGTGACTTCTAAATGCAAATTTTAAGTAATTCTCACAAGTCTCACCGAACCAAAATTAAGATCTGACTGAAATGAAGGAGGGCTGGAAACCTGAAACTATCATCCCAGCAACTATTTGAGACTTTTGGAGATTATGGGGGAATACAGCTTGGGAAGCTTTGCTAGTCTGGCAATAGAAAGATAAGACCCACAAACACGATGTGTTTAAAGAAAACAAAAAAAAAGAGCAAAAAACAAACCACAAACAAAACCCAAACCAAACAAACAAAAAAAACCCAACCCAAAAAAACCAAACCAAAAAAAAAAAAAGTGGAGGTGGGGATGGTGTTTTGGGGGGCTTTTTTTTAGTTTCTCTCCTTTCTACACTGGGCCAGTCCAGTGTTAGTTTATTAATGAACATTCACACTTCCGTCCTGTGCTTTTATAGATATCACAGTCACTGCTAGTAATCAACAAGTGTGGTGGGTACAGAGAAATGCTCTACACAGCACACATACTTTCAGCTTTAGTATGTCAAATATTTTTAGTTCCTGGGTCCCTACAAAAACCATTACTTCTGTACCACCCCATCTCCTGGCAGTTCTCTTTGGCATGATTTCCGGAAAACACAAATATTCCACAGCAAATTAGCAAATGACATCCAGGCTCAGAGCTTTCCCTTACAGGGCAATGCCAAATCCAAGCCCAGCACTTTTAGTGACTGTGGGTAGGGACTTAATTTCAGATTACAGAAATACCCCTTCACCAAATACGGGTGGATGATACCACAGCAAAGGCTCCTCGCTGCGCTAGGAACATCAAACTGGAAGCTACGGCCATGAGTCCTGCGTAATACCCTAAGACATTTAAGAAACGGGAAGACGCAACGCAAGGCTCCTCTTCCATGTTGGACATTTGGCAAACGCGAAGAAAAGCTCCCGCGTTATAATCCCCGAAATAGGCAACGAAGGGAGACGTTACCGCCGGAACACTCGGCACTCACTGTAACCCATCAGCTCCCCGCCGGGCGCCTCGGCGACGATGAAGTACTCGGGCCAATGGGCGAGGTACTGCAAGTAGAAGGGAATCCCGTACTGGCCGCTCAGTTAAGGAGCAACTGCGGCCGCCACGGCTGCGCCGCCCGCGCCCGGTCCCGCGCCCCTGCCCCGGTGGGAAGGATACGGTCTCGGTCAGCGGGTCCAGATTGCTGTGGGGGAAGAGAGTGCGGCGCTCAGCATGGGCCCAGGCCCGGCCGGCCGGCGGGGCGCCGCGAGCACCCCGCGGGGTGGGGAAGCGCGCAGGGCTCGGGGGCAGGAAGAGGGGACAGCCGGCGCTCACATGTTGTTGAATCGGAAGAGGTCGTCGCAGGTGAAGGCGCGGAGCGTTGTCATGATGATGGCGATCACGACGCTGGCGCTGAGCGCGACGGTGACGAGTGCCCCGGAAACGCTCGCGGGCCCAGGAGCCGCTCTCGCCGCGGAAAGGCGGCAGACAGCGCCCCCGCCCCTACGCAGCCCTGCCCCGCCCGCTGAACCGCCCCGGCCCGGCCGCGCCTGAGCCAGCCGCAGCGCGCTGGGCCGAGAAGGGGCGGGGCTGCCTGGGGGACACGGCCGAGCCGGCCTGCAGTGGGGCGCGGTGGCGCAGGGTCCAGCGCGGCCGCAGGAGCAGGAGTGCTGTGAGCTTGTGCAGCTCCACCCCGAGCACTCACAGGCTACACGTAACGCGACGTATCCGCAGTATGCGAGACTACCGTACGCAGAAAAAACAGCTCTGTACCCGGAAAGATGCTACCGGACGAGATCGGGCACACACTGGAACTGCCGTGCCCAGCACATGCTCGCCTCATGTGGAATGAATCCCACAGCTGCTCTCAGCACCAAAACATCACTGATCCTGAACACCCCTCACCACTACACTGATTTAAGCACCTCGCTCGTCCCACCCTGCAGTCTTTCCACCTTGCCCTCTCAGACCACTGGCCCTTCAACTTCGCTTTCAGAGGGCTGTGAGTCAGAATTCATCCTCAAGAAGAACACCTATTTAACTGGGATGCTGCTGCCATCAGCAGTAGGTGCCTCTTCATTATTTGCAAAAACACAGGCTGGAGGTCATGCCAGCCAACATGGACCTCTTCCACAAAAATACTGTCCTCAGTAGCGGGCTATACTCCACTCACCCGTTGCACAGCATCTCCTGCGGCACCCAAAAATACAAAGAAACAAGATGTCCATGAGCATAAGTATATGCCCATAAGCATTCACCTACTCCACATGGCCTGCTGTGCCATTCCTCTCACTTCCACTCAAATGCTGAGCTATTTCTGAAGTTATCACTGCAAGGGACCCAGATCACTCTAGTTATTGTGAAGGAAGGTTTGCCCAAAAGTTGGAGGCTATACTGCGGGTTTGATTTTTGTCCTTGAAAGTTCTGCATGCAATGCAGTGAACGGAGTATGGGTACATGTTTTGGGACAATGAAAGAGGCCTTTCTTGACCTGGAATTTATAATCATGAGATGCTGGCAAGGGTACTTCAGACAGAGCGTAGCCTGTCAGATTTGAGATCTGTCAGATTTCTAATAACTTAAGGGTCAATGCTTTGGTAAGAGAAACTTGATTCAAGGTCTGTAGTTGTGGTGCAACAGTGATGTGGGATTTCAGAGTTGCCAGAAGCAGGAAGATACTATACTTTTCAGGATTGTGGTGGAGGTGTGAAGGGGGATATGAAACTTGGGAGATGGAATATACCATTTTAAGGCTGGTTCTTAAGCCTTTGAGGTGTTAGGAAATGTATAGCTTTATAGCCCTCTCCTGCTTGAGGCACTCTTTTACTGCAGAACTACAAGAATAATATAATAACACACCCTTAAGAATAGAAAAAGCTCAACCGTTCACTTGACTGTCGTGACTAAGACACTCTCTCCAGCCAAACTGGACTTTGGGCTGCTTTGCTGTACTCAAGGTAAAGCCTTTACTTCTGAAGTGCTAAAAAAGGCACTAAAAAGTGCAAAAAGACACTTTTTTACTGTGACTGAAATTGGTTCAAAAGCTGGTCATGGCTAGAGTAGTATTTACTATTATCAAATTAATTCCCAATATTGTAGCCTAAGCCAATATATTCTACTCAGTGAGTTTGGGTTTTTATTTTAAATGACTCCACATCAATATATAGTTCTGCTAGTATGAAAACTATGCAGGCCAAATCTTGGGTGGCTATCTCTGCTGAGTGAAGTACAGGTGAAACAACTTTAGGCCTTACATAAATGTAAGTACAGAGATTATTAAAGACTTCCTCCCCTTCCCAATTACCTTTTACTATATGTCACAAGTGGAATATCATTCAGTCCCAGCTAGGATGTGTGGAGTGTAAATTAAGAGGCAATTTTAGCACTTCTATGAAGACAAAGATGATTTCACCCTTCAGAGAACAAGTATTTTCCACAGCTAGTTTTATTTTCAATTACACCACAATCAAGTGTTGACAATTAGTGTCTTAAAAGCTACAAAAGCAGGATTTCAACCCAGCAACAGATTTAGAATCAACTCTATGTTCAATTACAATTTACCATCCAACAGAGAGCTTCCCTAGAATGGTCAATGTTAGCAAGTTTCACTATACATACTCAAGGTATGCTGTATCTCAAGTATCAGTAGAATTTTGTCTAAGGGACTCATCAATAAATGAAGACATCTGCATATTTAGAAGAACCATAATTATGGTATTACTGGTATCAATTACTGTGAGAAGAAGCAGTTGTTTCTCAGTAGAGAAAAGTGATGGCAAATGTGAACAGGAATAATTAAATACGTGTGTGGTATTAAGTGTGTGGCTTAGGTAGGATTTCATTGGTTTGTTTGGTTTGGTATTTTTTAAAGTGCTCTGCATGATCCACCATCAAAAGAGGCCTGTATGAAGACCAGTACTAGCATGGTTGATATTACAGGAATAGAAAAGTTAAGCATTCACACTGTCAAGCTCTAATTTGAATCTTATATTTAAAAAAAAAAAGCGCCAAGGCTCATACATTTAGATACAGAATTGAAATGTTTCTACACATCTTAGAATACAACCAAATAACATGTTACACTCCGGTTATGAGAACCAGCCTGTTCTGAAACAATTTATGAAGTGACAAAGTCCACAGCAAAGCTACTGCTTTACTTCCATAATGTAAACACATCTGAATGAAGCATATGCTGACAGCTTCACAGATGAGATTATAAATCAGTAAAACCAAAGCAATTGGTCATAAAAAGCTTTTGTCTCTTATGAGACTTAGCTTACAAGCTCAGGCTGTACATTTATTCTTCGAAGGACATCTTCTGGCATACAAAAGACAGGATTGACGGCCTTAATTTGTTCTTCTCCTAATAAAGATAGTCCAGCAATACCAAATAAGGTGTGAAATGGATCCACCTGGAAGAAAAAAGAAAGCTTGTGTCTGTTTCCAAAAGTCAATTTGTTTTTCACTTGTATGGATTGAAATTTTCATTTGCCAGCAAGAGAAATGAAAATCTCCACAGCTTCTCCGGGAAAGACAATACAACTAAATACACTTTCATTTGTGCTAGCATGACCTGACAGGCAAGAAATTTCCATAGGAGGTATTTACAATGCTGTATTTACTCAGGCATGCTTGTCTATTATCTGCTGCTAAGACAATTTTCAACTCTGAGATAGAAAGCACTCACACTTGTCTATTAGCATGCAATATCACAGGGTGGTAGAAGCAAAGATAATTAACATTTTAAAGGTAAACTGGATCATCTACAGGTACCACTTCCATAAATTCCCCATTTGTTCATCAGAAATATCATAATGCTCTTTACTGGTTTCCAAATACAGAGCTGTGCTGTAAAACCTTGAGAGAGAGGCAGCAACCTATTATGCCAGAAAACCTCCCAGAACTACAAATAAAAACAAAACCCCCCAAACCTCTACTCCTAAGACCACGACCCCTCTCTCCTCCCCACAAAACAAACAAATGAAAAAACAACCCAAACACAAAATACCCCAAAACAAGGTCTGTTAGGACTGAGTTTCTACAGGAATAAAGCAAAAACCAGGAAGTCAACATTTCTACAGAAGTAGAATTTTCTACACTTCAGCATTCAAAGACAGGTAAGAATAATATTAAATTACAGCTAATGTAACATAGAAAAGCTGTCCCAAAGGTGCTCTCCTTAGATATAGAGAAAAGGCTCTTCAGAGCTGCTCTTCCAAAAAGATGCATATATTTCATTACTCAAAGCTAGAAAAGCATTTAGACTTCAAGTTCCAGGCTTTTCTTCAAGAATTCTGAAAAGGGAAAAGGTCTTCCTATAAGCTCCTTAGAAATTCAGAACTCTTCCTAATTTAAGAACACAAAAACACTTTCTAAATGACAGATCAGCGTTAACAGCTTTCTCCCCCAACTGGGAATAAAGTAGCTGCTTGCAAAAAAAAAAAAAAAAAAAAAAGTTACTTTATTTTTGAATGCATTTGTGGAGAAGGAAGCAGACATGGGCAGCTGCAATAAAAACAGCTAATACCTTTCCAGACCATTAAAAATATGCCAAGTGTTCAACAGGAATGAAGTCTCACAATACCTTCTATTTTATCTGTGCAGCACTCTTGAAAGATAAAAACTTTATCTGCCATTTCACTGGGACAATATTAATTAGTTCCACTTGAAATCAAAGAGAACAGACCAGCTAAATCGTAACTTCTCTCTCAACAAGTAAAAAATTCATAGCACCAGCCTCTTGACGATGTTATCTCAAAAGCTTCTTCCTCCCTCAGCTAGACAAATGTCAACTACAAGACTCATTCAGTGGCTGGGCTAGCAAAGACTGAAAGTTAGTGTATAGGGATTCTTAATAAAAAGTCATTATTTAATTAGATCAGACAAAACAAGAGAGCTGAAGACCATTTAACCTACAACCAGACTTTAGCTTGCAGATAATTTCACAAACAAAATAATAAACCCAAAGAACCCATACATGCACTGGAAAACCCACCACCAAATAGTGTGTTTTTACACAGATCTTCCAAATGGTCTTGTGAGAAATGGTTTGTGTTTTGGGGGACCAAAACAGATTTTGTAAGGAATGGCAACAGACTTCACTGGGAGATACATGTGCATTGTAAAGAATGCGCTCCCCAAGTACGCCTTCAATGGCAATTCTTCCCTATTCTTCCTTCAGAGTAAACTGCAGCCTCTGCAGAACCCACCAGGACCATGAATTGAGTTACTCTCAAACAAAAGTTGGAATCTCGAGTTGAAATTTTCATGTGTATTTTATTTAGAAAAAAATCTCACTTACCATATCTCCCGGTCTGTCAGCAAATCCTCCAGTCTCCTCATCCTGGCATGCCAAAATAAAGCAGCGCAGTTTCTCTCTGTCAATCCACTGTATCCTACCAATCATCTTCAAAGAAGCTAGCACCCACCACGAATAACATACATCAGGTAACTGGCAAGCAGAGAGGAAGATTAATTATTTGCTTGGGTTTCAAACATAATGTTGCAAATTTTACTGGCAATTCTGCACATTATCAGGTGCGCTATCATAATACTCTTGTGGAGACACAACACTTAAGAGTGTCTTTGGAGTAAAAGAATTTCTTGATAGTGTCTCTCTACAGT